TTTTTGTTGTTGTTGTTGTTGTTGTTTCTTTCAGGTTCGAGGAGCCAGAGGGGAAAGCAGCCGAAGTGGCAAGAGCAACTGCGCGGCTCTTGACGGTGAGGCTGTGCGCTGCGGCGTTTGTGTTGTGTTGTGCATCTCAGCCACCCCTCCTCCTCGTGGCGGCATGTTGCTGTTGTTCCTGCCAACGCCTCCCCGTTGCCTTGTTGCGTGTCTCTCAGAGCAGCAGGTAGAGTGGCAGGGCGCCAGGGACACTGGGCAGCCCTCCAGCAGCACAAAACGACCGTGGCAGCAGCAACGCCGCCGACACGAAAGATACGAAGAAGGTTGGGTAAGAGAGGCCTGGGAGGCACGCAATAAATTTGTGTGGACGCGAATCGCTAAGCCGGAGTGGAAAAATAGGTACGCCTGCACGACGCAGACGTTGTGGCAGAAAGGGGGGCACTAACTGAGTGAGAGAGAGCGCGACGGAAAGGGATGTCCGCGGGGACTGCTGCTGCTGCTACTGCTCCTGGCATGCCGGTGTTGCCTGCGAACCCCATCGACTACCCCATTATGTTTGTGCGGCAGGACGAGGAGGAGGCGGCTGCGGTGCCACCCGTCACGCTCTTCACGGCGCTGCAGTGGCTACTGCCGGTGTTCCAACTCGCCGGATGGCTGTCGAAGCACATAGGCAGGGAGGGTGACCGCAGTGGCGCCGACCCCACACCAGCCGTAACATCTGTGACAGAGGCAGCGGAGGTGGACGAGGCGCGGCGTCTTCTTCCGCACTTTGAGCCGTTCTTCACGAGCGAGAGCAGAGTGATTCCCAACGGTGCGCTGCTGTACACGGTGCAGACCTTCCGCTTTCCCACACCGCGTGGGCCGCGCAGCATCACCCGCGCCCTTGTGGAGACGCCTGCTAAATATTTCTCCCCGCTGCAGGAGGAGAAGGGTGGTGGTCACTTTCTCTGCTGCTACGAGGATCGGCGGCTGTTGCGCCACTTCACCTACGTGCAGCTGGACCAACTGCGCTTTGCGTGGGTGGCGGTGAAGGAGCTCCTGGAGGAGCACAAGGCGGTGCAGCGGACAGACGGCGCACTCACGGGTCTTGCGCGGCGTGACATCAAAAAAAACAACAGCGCATCGGCCCAAGACACGGACGGTGTTGCCGGTGGCGGAAGCGGCACTAGCAGCAAGAATCCTGTCTCGGTTTATCCTTCCACGTCGTCTACTGCTGCTGCTGCTGCTCTGCCAGCGCCGATAGCAAAGCGGCCACACCCCAGCAGCAACGTCATCACGGGTCCGACCGCGGAGGCGCGTAAGACACGTGAGGAGATGCGTGAGAAAAAATACATGAGTGACCTGCTGCGCGACGAGTGTGCTGCGCGGTGGCCGCACACCCCTGTGCACAAATCCGTTATCTTTGTGGTGGAGGAGCAGCAGCAGGAGGCGGTGGGCGGCCGCAAGGGCCGTAAGGGGCCGCGTACCTACCTGGCGACGGTGGAGCTGCCGCTTCTCAACAAGAAGGGCGGCACCGCGGCGTTCAGGGCGCCACAGTGGTGCACAACGCGCCGCGACGCTGAGAACGCTGCGGCGGAAGTGGCACTGCGCGCCCTCCGCAGTAGTAAATCGTAATGTCACCTTTTTTCACATGCACACATACAGATACAAACGTGAGGCTTGACGCATTTTCACGCAGATATATATATATATATATATATATGTCTATCTCTCTCTCTCTCTCTCTGTGTGTGCAACGACGAGTTTTGCAGCAACTCCGCCTGCTATTTTGTCCTTTTGTTTCGTCATTGATGTCGCTTCTGTTTTTTTATGATTATTACGACTCTCTTATTTCGATTTGTTTGGTGTACAAGGGAAGCACGTCAGGTTCTCTCCTGCAACAGGACGCTTATATTCAACATTGCAAAGGCCTCCAACGCGGACGAACGCAAGGAAGGAAGTGTGAAGGCAGGTGTCACTCGTTCCTCTGTAGCTGAGGTGCACTCCGGAGCAGAGGGGCATTTGCATCACCACCATCTAGCCAGCCAGCCAACGAATCATCATCACCCGCTCTGCAGGAGTGGGAAAGGCTCCAAAAAGAAGGAGTGTTTGTGCGTATTCGCGTGCGTGTGCGTCGCGCTCATCGCCATCACGAAGAGAAACACAATCATTGCGGCAGTTACAGTCAAGATGATTCAGAGCATCTTCTCGGTGGCCAAAACGATGCTGGAAAAGGAAGATAAGAGCAAAAAGGGGAACACCACGGCGCCAACCGACAGCAGCAACGACAACGCCGCACCACGCCCCACTGTGCAGGGCGGGGAGGGGCGCGCACCCTCACCAGCAAACCCGGCCAGCAACGAGCAGCACCGAGAAGAACCGCAAGAACCGGGGCAACGAGAAGAAGAAGGAGGGAGGCAGCAACAACAAGATAATAGTTGCAAAGAAGAAAACGGGACCGCTGCGGTCGAAGCGCAGGAAGAAAAAACCGAGACAAAGCGAGAAGAGACGAAAACGTCGGAGGATGCTGTGCCGCCTGTCACAGATGAACGTTCCATAGCGCAGGTGCTGGCAGTAGTCGATGGTACTGAACCAACGCAGCGCTTCCAGGCGCAGGAGCAACAGCCGTCATGCACACCCGACATGCCACCTGCGGAGGTAGCGGTGTCTTCAGCCGTTGAAGCGAACGCGTCCAACAACAGCGCGGTGGACCCCAGTAATTCCAAGCAGCAGCAGAGTGAAGAGGAGCTGGAGTCACAGAAGCATGAGTCGCACCAACAGCAGCATGCTGCGGTTCCTGTGATGCCGCACCATGTCTTCTCCGAGGAGGAGGTCGCCGCGTTGATGGAGAAGCGGCGGCTGCGCGAGCAGGCCCTGCAGGAGGAACAGCGGCAAGCGGCATCTAAGCGCAGCTCCGTTGCGTCCGCGTCCTCTACGCGGCGGAGCCTCGGTGACGCATCGGGGTGGCGCAACACCTCCGTGGACGCAAACGCGGCGAGGGTATCGCTGCCACCGTTCTATGCTGCGGCAGCAGCGCCGGGCAGCGCCCCCCTCGCGCATCCGCTGGCACACCAACCTCTTTACCCGCGCGCCTCACTGGCGTCGCCGGCCGCTGACGTGCCGCTGCCGCCGCCACCGCCGTACCCGCACATTATCGCAGCAGATGACAACGCGGCGCTCAAAAGCAGGCCACACACACAGCAGCCACAGCCGCAGGCAGTTTGTGGGCCGTGGGGATTTCAACCGCAGTTCATGGGATTTCCCCATGTGTATGGTGCTCCAGCCGCATTTGACCCGGCTTCGATGCTGCTCAATGCGCAGCAGCAGCAGCAGCAGCCTGGCGTCAGCGACCCTAGTGCCTCGATCCTTGCCCCGCCGCCGGTGCAGCCGAATGGAATGGGGATGAGCATGCAGGAGCTCGGAGTCCTCGCGCGACTTATCGTGCTTGCCCAGAACAATCCGCAGCAACAACAACAGCAGCAGAATTTCTTCCCCCCGCAACTGCCGCTTCCGCAGCAGCAGCAGCAGCAGCAATACTATTACTATTACCCCCAGCGTGGAAGACAGGAGAACGTGACGCATTTTGTGAATCCCTTGAACCAACAGCCGGTGGCAACGCATATCAAGGTGGATCCACTTGCTTCCAGCAGTAATCTGCAGGATAGTGCTCCCCCAACCAATGTTGTGCCGATGTTAGAAAAGGATGTGAAGCTGGTGGCGGCGCCGGTGACGGAGCACCAGAACAGCACGCAGGTTTAAGGGCGATGCTTTTTCACAACAGTAAATTGCTATATATATATATATATATATATATATATTTCTGTATGTTTAGCTGTGTGTGTATGTATGTGCACTTATCCAGTGATGTCCAGTGTATACACCCATGTTTCTTCATGATTTACCGACTCTGCTTTTCTCCCTACATCGATTCCCACTCCAAATATCTTCCTATTCCCTCACAGAGGAGTGCCCTCAAAAGGACGCACATATGGGACACCGATTGCAATACAAACTGAAAGAGCGCGGAGGACAAAAAGAAGGAAACTGGTTAAAGTGGGAAGAAAACGAAGCCCAGGTGCACACACACACACAACATATATACATACATATATATACATATATGTATATGTATGATTTATATGNNNTATATATGCATGTATACAACTATGTACCTACTAATCCTTAGTTTTCTTTCTCCGTATAAGCCATATTGATGTATATGTATAAGAAGAGACAATAGGAATATATGCTCTATGCCCGTGTCTGTATTTGCTGTGGGGTATATACACGGCCGTATGTTTTTGTGTTTCTCTTCAAGTCTGTACGTATATGCGTGTGATCTTGTTTTTGGTTTTTTTTATATCGGCGCGGTGAAGTGAGGTATTTCATATAGTGTCGTTTTCTCCATTGGTTGGCTTCTTCAAGTCACTGGTGCATGGGTACGCACCTTTGTGTATGTGTGTGTGTGTGTGTGTGTGTTGAGGCTGGGAGCAGGGTGAAGAGGATTGCTGCGGTTACCTTCCCTCCCTTGATAGGGAGACACATGAGAGGGGGATACTCTCCTGTTGGGAAGCAAATCCAAATTGAGCGTGAATGTGTCTTTAAATTAGTTGTTGTTGTTGTTGTTGTTCACCATTTAATGCGGCATATCACAGGCTGGAGAGAGGTCTTTGGTGTATGTGTATGTCTGTGTCTGGACGCCTGCGTGTTTATGTGCCCTCCACGATGGCGCTTACAGTAGCCGAGAATTATATATATATATATATTAACAACAAGCGGGAGAATTTAAATCAAACGCCGAACGCGGCGTGAGTGACGGAACAAGGGTTCGTCACTCAGCCTGCTCCGCATCCCCCCCATCATACACGAACAGAGCGATGCTCCTCGTATAACACACTGGTGTTTATGTTCAAAGGGTTGTACTGATGATTGCTGTCTGTGTGTGTGTGAGAGAGAGAGAGAAACAGTCCTTTTTTTTGCCCTGTGCCTGTCAGCGGCTGCCTCGCGGAGAGGGGGGGTGCTGCGCCAGTGGCAAAGTAAAAAGGGGAAATTTGAAAATCCACCGCATTGTATTTCACCGTCCTGAATTTTTTCTTGTTTGGTTTTTGCTTTCTTTTGGTGTGGGAAGGAAGGGGTCTTTTGATTTTGCGTGGGCGGTTATGCCCCACCTCATCATGGGCCATATTCCCTGCTATTTGCGTTCCTTCTTTTCTTTTTTGAAGTACCGACTGTGTGTGTCCGGGTGGACTGGTGTGACCTCGGGCCCCGCCCTGCTGGTGGTTTGCCTGCGACAAGAACGGCGATGGGGGGAGAGAGAGAGAGAGA